TTCAGCGCCCCTGCATAACCGACTATAGGCTACACATTGAGTAATATTTGCGCTAACTACATATAAAATTAAGTTTGGGTTTCCCAAACTGAAGTCTTTTAAGAAAAATTTTGGTAATGTTAGGGTTACAAAATTTTTCTCGGTAAAGCTGCAACAAAACAATCACACTGAGCTGTTAAAAGATTCGCTAATTAGAGCAATTTTTGTAGCATAAGGAGGCATTGATCGAAACTCAAAGTTTAATAACCTGCAATTCTGTTACAACCTAGTGGAAGAAAACGGACCGTGTTTAACATTTGAGTTTGATTTTTGCCTTTAACGGGAAAATTTACTTCCAGAAATTAAAATGGCCGAAAACATTAATAAATAACAAAAAATGACTATCAATTAGAGGTAGGATCAGACGTCTTCAAAAGAAACCAGTTTCTTATAATCGGCGGTTTGGAAGTTTCTGCTCTTTCGTATGTTTTTGCTTTAGACGTTTAAGTGAACTTTTTCAAATTCAAAATATGTAGGAGACTGTACTTGCCTTTTTCTTTCAGAAAATAAACGATTTGTCTTCATCTTAGAGCCGAAAGTTAATTTCCTATAGTTCCCCGTTTTCCCCTGTTCTCTGTTGCCCAAAAAACCATCCATCCAGCATATCCTGTTCCTGTCTCCTCCCTATCTTATCGAACTCTTATCCAATCTCTTTGCACCTCCTCCTCCTCCACTATGCATTTTTTTAGGCGAAATTCGCCACTCAAGCGTCAAATGAGAGATGTACTTGTGAGAGGGGAAATCACCGAAGTGGTGAAAGTTCTCGTTAGCACTTATCATCACAACCGTGCCCTAAAGAGTGCCATTTTTGAGTTTGTATGCCAAAGCACCTTCGCTACCACAGCGCACGTGGGCCACGGGTGCTTGAGGGCGTGCTTTTGTTTTTCACACTGTTAGACACAAAGCTTACGACGCATTTTGACCTTGGGGCGTCGTTTCATAATTGGGCGTCAGCTACTTCATTTTTTTCACTTGGCGTTTTTGTATGAACCATGTTTGTACCGAATAAAATTATCTCCACTTCAAAAACATGAAAATGTGATGAAAATGTTTTCTCGCCTCTTAAGGTAAAGAGAATGGGGTGGGGCAGGTGAGTTAGATTTTTTCCATTATAAGGGATTTTTCTTGTTTCAGAATTTTCATAAATACAGTGAACACGGTATAAAACAGTGTATTTTTCGCATTTCTCACCTTTTTTAAAATATGTAGGAGCGAAAGTCAAAGGTGCTTGTATAACTGTGGCAAAGGAGGGGCGGAAGGAGGAAAATAAGATCTGTTATATTCTTGTTTCTTCTAATTGCAATAGCGAAGACGCGGTAAACAACAAAATTTACTTAATTGTTTCACAGTTAAGGTGTGCAAGGAAAAGGAGAGCAAAAATTAACAAAAATTTTACATTTTAACGTTTTAAATTGTGTAAATAAGACAAAGAATGGAAAACATCCAAATGTCTACATTTTTTCCTTTCCAAAAATGCACAATGTGGCAAAAAGGGCGTAAAGCAATGGAATTTTCTCCAATTTTCCTGTGTCGAAAATATGCTTAAGTGTGAGAGAAACGCTGAGTAACATTTCTTACACCTTTCCCGTTTCAGAAATCACGTAAATATGACAAGGGGAGGGGGGGAATAGTGAATCTCTAACACTTTTCCCAGGAATATTCGCGAATTTGGTAAGGCGGGCAAAAGTGGGAAGTTTTCATACTTTTCCCGTCTCAGAATGTACATAAACTAGGGGGTGAAGGGGCGGGTGTAGCAATAAACAACCATCTTCTTTTATTTCGGTTTACCAAAGTTCCTCATATAACCCCCCACCCCGTGATTTTGGGCATTGTTCATATCTCCGGCTGAGATCTCGTATACTCTCTCTGTTGACCTTACTTTTTACGAATTCTTTGAAATCTCTCCCATGGATATAACCTTGAAGAAACCGGAAAATCACATGTTTTACATAGTGGGGAGATTCTCCATATGACCGCTAGTATAAGTCAAAATTATCTTGATGGAAATGTTTCGTAGCTAAATGATGTATGGACATTTCGGAGAAATCATTTAGAATGTATAAAAATTTCCGCATAGCCGAAAAATGTACATTGTAATTTATTATTTTCTTGTCCTATAAATTCACTAGTGACTTTTCTCTTCCGTCTATAAATCCGTGCATCAGCCTGCAAAGCTCTCATTTTCCCTTCACTTTTATGTTCGATTAAGGTTTTAATCCATCACCTTACCCGACTACTCAGACCTATAAGTAATTTCCGTTTCTATAACCCACATCAGCGCCCACCCCGCTTCTTTTCCTGAACCCGGTCAGATTTGAGAAAAATGCGGTCTGACTCCTCCTTTCCCAACGGTAACCATAAGTTGGGTCAACGTTAACCGATGACTTTGTCATCTTTAATGCGGTTGTGCGCTGGACGCCGCTGTCCTCCTCCGCCTTCGCGGAAGCCGCGAACGCCTTGACGTTCCGTTCTTCGTTCAGATTAGTGTCGGTGGCGCAGTTCAAAACGATTGCGTTTTTTCTTTGCTCCCTTGGCTCCGCCTCTTTTCACAAATTTCTGTTTGTTCAGTACAAATATTTCTTGCCTTTCTTAGTAATACCTTTCTACAGTCTTTTGGCGAACAAATTTTATCGTTCATTTGATTAATGAAATCGAAAGAAATTATTTAGCATTGCTTCCTGCTAAGATCTCAAAGCTTACAAATGCCACCAATACCAATTATAACTTAAAAATGAGGTTTTTTGACGCACTTTTCTCTATTTAGGACCATTTACTCTGCATCTACCGCATCATCATAGAGAACTTGAAATTATAAACTGGATAGAAGGTAACGCTTGTTTTCTTTCCGAGAGCCTTTGCCATAAAAATCACACGATCTGAGGAATTTTGTATCAAGTTGAAGTCTTTCATTTCTAGTGGAAAAGTTTGCAGATCAAATTTGCAAAGGCCGATTTTGAATAAATCAAAGGCAACTTGACCCTAAATTGCTGGTATTTTTTGACTTCTGGGTACATGTGCTCAGATGTTTTATGCTTGTTTCAAAATTAATGCACAAATTAGAGTTCACAAGAATTATTTACAGCTCATCTATGTCCGCTTCATTCTCTGTCCAAAACGATGTAAATTGAAATGGCGTTTCCTTAAAAATTCTCTGAACTCTTCGAAAAAAGAAGCCTTCCCAAAACTTTCCCGCAAGGAAGCACCTTGCAGACCTTATTGCTCAAATATGTTTGTATGCTTTAATAAAAACAGTGACGTTACTCATTAAGTTTTGAACTTGTGAATCTCAATAGATTTATAGATCTAGAATAGATAACTTCTTACGACAAACAGAGTAAGTGCACCTCTAGTAAAAAGTATGTGTATATGAAGCTCCGTAAATCAAACCCTTCAATTGATTTTACAGTAGTTTCATAGATACACAGTGGCAGCCTTTTACACCAAGAGGAGACAGAATTCAAATTCTTTGACTGAGCAGATCAATTCTGCAAATGCCCATAAAATTCCAAGAAAAGCGCCTTTGCAGGTTGCGCCACCAAGAATTCAATACCAGGCGCTTTCGGTTCGAACATAAGTGATAATCGAATTAGGCGCTTGCTATATAACCCCATTCGTCCTTGCATCGTGATGAGTTTTGAAGGTTTAGATTAGACGTCACACATAAAAGTTACACCATTGTTGGACGAGTATTTTTCTTAGGGGGGGGGGGGGGAGGGGAGGAAGCACTCGCATTTGTTTACAGATGTGCTCATAAAGAAGTAAATGTTGGTAGGGTTGAAAAAACTGAAAAAAATTATTTGATTCAAAGTAGTTGCAGCATACCCACAAAAACAGCACTTATTTTATGGTCCCCTATAACTTTTTTTGCAGATATGGGCAATCAAATGATCGTAAAAGCGGGAAAGCAATCTAAATTGTGTTTTCCAGCTCAAGAATTTGATAATTGATCAACAACTGTTTACTAGTTTAGTTTATGAGTACCTTCCTAGTTTTATAATAGCCCGCAGAACTGATTACCTATTTGTCTGAAGATGTTGTTTTTAACCATTTGGTAAGACTATAAACCGATCCGGAATCGGTTTATAGTCTTACCAAATGGTTAAAAACGCTTCTTTATTGACAGCAAGGACGAATGTCAAAGATTAGGCGGAGCTTCTTTTGGCGAATAGACACACCAAGAGGCATGGTTACGTTATTTCGTAACTTTCTGCGATTGCACGTGTCACCCACTTTGCGCGTAATACCCTGGATCTCGCCGGAATTTTGCATATATCTTCTGGGAGATTTTCACCATAGGATTTTCAATGCTTGAATAGAACAATCTACCCATGCTTGAATCTTATAAAAAAACGTAAAAAATTAAAAGAACAATATAATAGCGAAAACTTCTTACTCAAACATATATCTCAAAAACTTCTGACATCATGTACAACATTTACTCTATCAAAAAAGCTTAATATAATTTTACAATTGCTGCTTGCAGCTCAAAATCTTATATGAGCTCACGTCTTGTTGACAACTAGGTCCGGGATCTTACGCGCAATATTGTGGCGTGTGCAATCGCACAAATCGACTATAAAACCGTTATCCCGTGTTTCTTCCTATCCTGTAGTCCAGCAATGCCCGATGACTCACTTTCTTTTCCGTATAAAGCGAATCGTCTAGTCTAGCTTTCATTACTTCGTATGACATAATTTTTAGCGCCGATGACCCGTTATGGAGCGCGAGTCTAGTCTGTATTTGTTAAAACACTTCTTTAAAGTAGGTTAAGGGTGTAACGGATTCCAGAAAATTACTAAATTAGGGTATCTTCGAGGGGAACGATTACGATTACACCACTAAGTTGTGAAAATCTGCCTCGTTAATTAATCTTTGCCGAGTATTTCTATCTGGTGTACTGTAGCTGCACCGTCGCCGTATTTTCAATCAATATATCGATTTTTCCCGCGTACCATATCTACTTTTCAGGATGTATATGGTGTTTTCGCTGCCATTGTTGTTGTTAGTCCTCAGCCAGTCAGAACCAGCAGGTATAGTACATTTCTTACATTTAGAATCGCTTTTACCCTTCGCTCGTCACCTAAACACATTGCCAAACGTGCAATTGCGCGCGGTTTTATGCGCGGCACCACACTGAGATTGTCTAAGGTTATGTGAAGTTCTTGAGAAATGGGTTATATGGCCCCGCTGTTACGAGAAAAAACTTTTGATAGGGTTGTCGTTGTTAGAGTGATTGACATTTGAGGGTTCCTTCAATGTCTTCAAAAGGCACGTGCACAAATTTTGGAGGAAAGGAGGGGGAGGATAGTAAAAGGTAGTGCAGTGTTATGAAATAATTGTTCCTTTGATAATTTCTATTGTAAATTTTTGGAACAAAAAAATATCTGTTTGCACAGTCAGATGTAATGGGTTTGTACTAACTACATTTCTGTGCTAGCATTTCATAAGAAGTTGTTATTTTGAACAAATTACAACAAGCAATTTTCTTTCAAATGCCATCCTTAAAACTGAAATTACTACATCTCAAACAGCATTGAGGGAAATTTTTGAAAGGAAAAATCAGTAGTGAGTCGTGAGTTTTCGTGCAAATGCACAATTTTATCATATAAAAAGCTAATTTTATTACACTATTGAAAGCCTCTCAAAGACGATTGAATGATTCTAGCTGATGCTGACACCTTGTGTAATTGCACAGTTTCATGTTTAACCCAAGAATAAGAATTTTTTTTGTATACAAATGCAGAAGAAGAATTGAAGTATTTTTTGTGAAGTGTGTTAATTTTTGGGCTTCAAATGAGAACCAAATGACTGTTGTTCGAAATTGATGTAATCGCAGATCCTATATGTATCCATAAATAGTAAAAAAGCAGTAGGCTCATAGAAAAAGTGCAATTTGATACCGTAGTATCCATACCGTAATTCATCAGAAGTAAGATCATTGTTGCCCGTTTCATGGAATTTTATTCTAAACGAGTTTTCTAGTAGATTTTTTCTCATATAGAAGTGATAAACTCATATATGGACTTATTGTCAAAACAGTAAATTATGCGGAAAAATTTTTTTCCTAAGTTAGATACTAAACGAACTTGTTTGAGAAAAAAAAACCTCAGCGTCGTGAATAACTAGCCCTATGGTGATTAGAAATCATTGAAAGTCTTATGACTACATAGCATGGGATTATTGGTCAGTTACCAGGTCCGTTGAGTTGATCTATGAAGCTCAGACTAGTTCTCTCACTATATGTATTTCTTATCGTCATCTCCTTTTCCACACAAGGATCCCCGTCGCGCATTTCGGGAATTGCGTATTACATCTCGAATAGAGAGATAGGTTATGTAATTCTCGCGCGATTTCATTACAATGTGACATACGTCAAGATTCGATAGGAATCAACACCAAGGTTAGACAACGGCCTAACTTGTATACGCTTTCGGGGGGAAAACAATGCTGAACGGCCTAGTTTTTGATGGATAAACTAGGCTCGGGATCATATTATCGGCGTAAACATATATCAGAATTTCTTACGGGTAATTAGGCAAAGAGACTTTCAGGAATAGGGAAGAGGTGAGGGGTAAGGTTGGTCGCAAGAATTTCCTATGGTGAAAAAATAGGAGTAGATTTTCGCGGAGAAAAAAAGAAGTAGGGTTAAAAATCTGTTATTGTCTCTGGTTAGAATTATTGTTGGCGGATAACTTCTGTCATAATTTTTCCCTTCAGTTTGAAAAAAACCAGAATCTTTCTCAAAACTATAGAATTGCTTTATATATGTAGGACAGAAAGAGCCTACACATTAGCACAATTGATTCTGCAAATGTACAAGATACAGCCAAGATGTACATGAAGAATTTTGTAGGCACACAAAAGTGGATTCAAAAGAACATTTGAATGCCTCATATGTAGAAAAAAATAAACTTTCTGCGAGCAAGACATGGTCATTTTCCGGATTGACTAAATTTTTGCACATCTATCATCCCTAGAACTTCCTTAGTCATCCAAAAAAACGCTCTTTGCTCTTTTCAGTAGTTCTCTTTGCTCTTTTTTATTTCAAGTCAATTTTGTAGAAGTATGTAAATATAGGTGATTTATAACAAGTTTGTCAAAATGTGTTTTCTTTGGAATAACCGTTCTTATGACCAGTACAATTAGTATAATTGCCACCTAAACTCTTGACAATAATGATCTTTCTTATTTTTTATTTATTCTGTTTGTCGAACATCAGTGAGTCTATGCAACGCAAAGTTTTTTTGAAGAACAGAAATATTTTTGGCACCGAAAAATTCTCGAAATTTTTGCTGACCTTCTAACATCCTAATTAACTACATTTGCGCTAGTAACCTCAAAATTCCAATGCCGTAGCTCAAAGATCGCTAAAGGTTCTTAAGTTCACCGAGTTTATTTGCGCTCGTTCAGCCAAGTTTAGCACATTCTAAGCAAGAAAAAAATTTTTATGAGTGGCTTGCTTGAAAAACATTGCGCAGAACTGAAAATAATAGAAACCGCAAAGGTTAATGGGAGAATATACCGCTGGTAAAATACAGCAGAACAGTTTATATAGAACTATTGAAAGGAAAGGTTTTCAGAGGCAGCAGACGACAATCCAGTGACCGTCCGATTCCATTGTAGAGGAAATTGCTGTGATCACCACGAATGGTGCCGATTTTGGGCATCTGTAGGTGAATGCAAGGTATGTCAAATTGATATTTCAACTATAGAAACAATCCGGTTACGTTTTTTCCAAAATTCTAAGTACCCAATGTCATATTTCACTTCTCTAGTAAAATAGACAATAAAAAAGTTTCTAAAATCTCTTGATCCAATCTTTACATTTTCCAAAAGTTTGCACCCTCGTCATAGTTTTTATTTTTATTGTTTCCTGTGTAAATAAACCCCAAATAAATACTAACAAAGCTCAAGTTCTAAAAAATAAGCGGAAGTGAAAATCCCCACAGTGAGTACGGCTTCCAACACCAGGAACATCGGTCCTCGGTAGTATAGTGGTGAGTATCCGCGTCTGTCACATGCGAGACCCGGGTTCAATTCCCGGCCGGGGAGAACATTTTTGATCTCATTTGCTGTGTTTTGAAATCACTGTTTTTGCTCCAAAGGAGCTTCATGTATTCAGTCTCGAGCCAAAAATCTTTTTTAATCTTCTTGATTAATTAGAGAGATATGGAAAAAAGAAACTTCGAATCTTCATGCATATATTTTTTTTGTCGAAGCAAGAAATTTATCATAATTATCGGATCTTAGCAAGATGACCTTTTCGCAATTTCCCTTTTTCTTTGACATCTTAGGCCAATGACCAATGTAATAAAAGATTTATCCCTTTGCACTTTTTTAGTCGAATCGAGAATGGATGGCGGACAATTGCCAAATAGCTTGTGGAAGTTGCCGACGAGGTTCGTTCTCCCTTATAACAATTTTCGCAAAACCTCTAGCAAAAACTCTAGTTTAATTGTTGCATCCGTAAATTGCAAGTGTAACTGCTTGTTCCATTTCTAATAGTTTTCCATTTCGTCACGATTTTTTCCCAGCTGACACAATCAGATTCATGCGATTTTTATCGCTTCATTTCATCTTCGACATTCTTACAAGGTTAGATGGCGGAAAAGTGTTATACATAGATGTTTTATAACTCCGCTGTCATATATTAGTTTCCCCGAACTAGTAGGTGGATCAGATTAGAAAGACTCAAAAACTTGCGAAAACTTTGACGATCGCGAGATCTGACCTTGCTGAAAATGTTTCAAGTTTTAGGCCCCAACCGAACACCCCGTCCAGGGGGTAATAGGCCGCCTAGGCCCGGTACACGAGGACGGCGACCGTTGTCGAGTCCTCGGAACCCGGGTCCAACAACACGAACCCGTCGACCGACACCACAGTTCAGAAGGCCGCTGGCAGCGAGACCTCCACGACCATCCACTCCTAGGGTCACTTTCAGAACTACACCGTTCGCTAGAGCAAATAGATTCCGAACAAGGCCACCAACACCGAGGTATGAAGAAAATTTGGTTAAAGGAAGTTGAAAGAGGCGAAGAGGAAGAAAAAAAAAAAGAATTTTATTAAAAAATTCATCAACTCGTGCAGATGAGAAATTGTAGTCAAATTTCTGAGAAAGTTCTAGCAATGGGAGTCTCAAGAAAAAATGATTTTGTCTGACAATTTTGACATGTATAAATTTTATTTTTTCAAAAAAACCATGAAATATTCACATTTTTATTTGGATTTTTGAAAAGGCTCATTAAGAATTTTTAATGAATAATAATGATGAATTCTGATGTTCAAAAAAAACAGTAACAAATTCTGCATTGGAGCAAAAACACTTGCACTTCCCCGGAAGTTCTCGGTTAGGAAAGAAGGTCTGTAGACTTAATCGTTTTGAGTACTTACAAATATGCGTATCTTAAAATAGACAGCTTTTGAAAGTGAACCATTATGCATTTTTTCTCATCCTCCTCGCCTCGAGAAATTTATTCAATAATTAGTTACCAAATGAGTTTGATGGTTTCTCCTCTTGGTGATGGTTAAAACAAAGGGTGGTATTTTTGTATTCTACCGTGGTATATCTTGGTAATAATAACATTGATTATCATTTTACTACGGGTATGGTGTAAGTGTACGAACCTTATACAAAAATTTAGCGATGATGCGTTCCCCATCGATGCCAGTAGTTTCACAGCCGTAGAACCAGATGTGCATGCTGCAGTAGTACCAGACTTCACACCACAAGCACCACAGTTCCGTCAAAATTCCATACCGCACCCGCACTTTGAGTCAGACCAACAGGAAGGAGGTCCCTTACCCCGAGGGGAAGCGCCAGAGCAGTTCGCCCAGCAGAGCCAAGAGCAGTTCCCACAACAACGGGAACAGTCCTTCCCAACGCAGCAGTTCTCACAGCCCCAGCAGCTACAGCAGCAGTTTGTCCCACAGGCTCAGCCTCCTCAGCCAAGACGTGAAAATGTGCAAGGAGACTCCTTCCAACGTCCCCAGGCCATTCAGGTAGCACCCCTAGTACCTGCTCAGCAAGTATTCAGGCAACCTGCGCCAGCTGTCCCACTGTCCCGACCTATAGCACGGAATCAAGTTCTTCGACGCAGACAAAGAATCCGAAATCGTCTGCGGCCTCAGAATAGGCAGCAGATCGTTCGAGCACAGTTCATACCTTCCCAGGAGCAGAATAATCTGCGACAGCCGGTGCAGACACAGCAGAATCCTGTTCCGCAATCTTTTCAGCAGAATCAGGCACCCCAGAACCCGCCTTTAAGACCAGTTCAACAGCTTGTGCAGACGCAATTCATTCAACCTCCAACGACGCCTTCTCAGCCGGAATTCACGCAGGAACAAATTATACATCCCCCACAGCTACCCATTCAGCAGCCATTCACCACTGCACCGTTGCTACAGGCGCCTATTCAAAGACAGTTTACGCCAGAAGGGCAACAGGCATCCCAAGAGCAGTTTACTCAGCCTCCACCTGCACCAGTCCAGCAAAACTTTAGGCCGCCAGTTCAGCAGCAGTTCAGGCAACCTGAGTTTACGCAACCACCACCGGTGACCACTCAGGAACGATTTACCCAACCCCCACCGACGCCCACCCAACAACAGTTCACTCAGCCTCCGGTAGTGCGTGTCCAACAACAGTCTAGGGAATCAGAACCAAGGCAACCTTTAGCGGAGCAGTTTACGCAGCCACCACCCGTAACTTTTCAGCAGCGGTTTACCTTTACCCTGCCTCCAGTAGTGTCTACACAGGCTCCCTTCCAACAGCAGATTGTCCAGCAAAGGCAGCCACCCCAGGAGTTCCCTCAGCCATCGCCGATGCCTACTCAGGAAGTTAACCCTGTCCAAAATCGAGCATTCGAACAACCGCAGCAGATTGTGCAGCGACCATTTGTGCAGTTTGAGCCAACTGTACCCACCACCGTAACGACTACCGTAACCACGACTATCCCTACCACTATCAGGACCACTACTCCTGCTAGTACCACAACTCCGTTCACAAGTGCACCGGAACGACAAGAGCCTCCTCAAGAAGAGAGGATGGAAGTTCCACAAGTGGAGGAGTGAGTGGCCAATCGTCTCCATTTACACAAGAGTGTGCTCTCTCAGCTCTTCTGCACCCACACACCTTGCACATCGTTTGTCGCAACCTGCACGCACTGGCATGCACAGCCTTTAACTTTTCTTGCACTTGTTTCACTAATTGCCTGTTCACTAATATCTGCCTAACACTTGCATGCTTTTCACTTTATACTTTATTGTGCAACTGCACAGCATACGCTAAAGAATTTTAGACCATTGTTGAACCGAGCACCTGTACCGCCTCGCACTGTCCGTCCAAAACCACCTCTTCGTACTAGAACTTTTCTCCAACGACAACCAACTACAGCGTCAGTGAAAATTAGTATATAGAGGGAAGGTGGAAGAAGACAGAAATCCCATTTTTAGTATCATAACAACAATACAACCTTAAAATCCGAAATTGAAGTCTCGTAACGGAAGAAATACGGACTAAGCAAGACATAGATAAAAAGCTCAAAAAATATTCAATATGTGGGCTATAGGAGAGTGAGGGTAAATAGTACTGCGCGTCAGCGCACAAAGCCGGGGCTGATCTTCTTAAATGGTCCATTTTCTCTACATTTTTCAAATGACTTATTTTCCCAAACCAAGCTTTCATTTTCTTGAACGCACAATCGCGTCTTTCACCGACCGAAATTTTTGCCTTGTGGATACAACACTCAAACAATAAGTGCTAAATGAGTCACTTCTGAAGTGTTTTTTTTGCCCCTCCCCCCCCCCCCTCCTTAGATCCATTTGACCTAGCAACATCCGTTAATTTGCAATCGTTCATATGTTACTCTTGTTGAAGAATCTTACAAGAATCTTACATCACAGAATAGAGCGTATTGTGTACAGAGAGTAGGTTTTTCTGTTAATATGTGCAATTGCACAATTTTTGAAGCACAGTTTTCGGAATGGTGACCATTGGGCCCAATTAAGTTTTTTCGTGCCTTGTCTTCGCTGTTCGGACACAATCATTGGGGAAAGTAAGTGATGGCATTCTATGAACTTCTTACTTGAGAGGCCTGCACCTCATCACCACGATCCCTTAACATGTGCAATTACACCATTAGTTCAGAGTTTAATGTGGCTATACAAAATCAACGAGGATACGCTACATGAAATGGGTTCCCTTGGTAAAATCACAATGAACTTCGTGTCCTTTTGACGACTTGATAGCATTTACCTTTGACGCAGACCCGTAGACGACGTCGTGCTGAAGTTGCCCAGCTAAAGGTCATTTCCAAAGGATCAATTTTGAAGAATCATTCAATGGTGAATGATAACAGCGAAAATCAAATGGCAGCCGTAATCAAAGCAAAAACTAAGGGGAAATCACGAACCGGATGCCGTAGAAATGTTTTTCAAAACGTGAAAACAGTCTTAAAACTAGGATGATGACCTTAGTACAGCGTTGCGCCCTGTTTTGCCCTTTGTGATAAAAAAAAGAGTAAACCTGCCTTACTGTTACTGCCATCAAAATTGAGTAGGGGATTTAAAAAGCAATAATTCAAAAATATCCACTTTTGAATGTTTGAATCAAATTGTAGGTGTGCTATGCTTGGCTTGAAAACTGGATGCACTGGCTTTCTAACCAATTTTGATCTTTGTAAGCTTTTGCTTTCAGAACTCTGGCTTAGAGTTTCCTGAATTATTTGCTTGAGTTTTATTTTTTATAAAACAAATTCAGGACTACCAATAAGAGTTATACTGAATTGAATTAAAATTGGCTCAGTAAAGGCAGTCAACTCTAGATGCCTCAATTTAAACCTGGTTCACAGTTTCCTGATTTTTGTTTTCCTGAATTTCATTCTTATAAGTAAAACCAGACCATAAATAAGATTTGAAATTAGGTCAAATTCAGCTCAAAAAAGATAATCAGTATTGGGTGCTACAATTCTATTTTATTCTGAGGTATTTTGGCAGTATCAACTGCCTTTTGAATCTAGTGACTGTTGAATGGGATCGTTTTTTCTTCTCATAATGCTTTTGAATTTTTTTCTTAAGTTTTTTGAAATTTTGATGACTAATATTTAGAAATTGATTATTCGTACGCACTTTTCGTGCAATGAAGATAAATGTGTATTAAATAGTGTGGATTTATACCCATGTAACAGGTTTGATGAGTGATGCACTAAAAAAATAATTTTCCATTTCAAACTAACTCGAAAACTTTCCATTTCCAAAATTTCACTAGAATAAACGATTTTAATATTTTTTAGCACAACCCGACAATTACCGGTAACTACAACCCGGCAATTACCGCCGGTAACTACAACCCGGCAATTACCTGTACCGGTAACCACGCGACCACCGCCACCGCCACCGCCTCCACCACAGACACAACCACCCCCACCTCAGGTGAATAACGTTGCCAGATGTCAACAAATTCTACGAGATCCCCTGGTAGCAGCGGAAGAGATGTGGCGAGAGCATCTGGTTGTGCCTACGGAAGGTATGAGAGAGAAAATGGGAGAATTCATGTAAGAAAGAAACTTTCTGCATTTGCAGATAACAGTGGAAGACGAACGGTCGATTTGGATCAGGTGATTCGTTCAAATTTGGCAAGTGCTTGTGTTCCACGTATGGATGAGTCAAGTTGTGAGAGGAACTTCTGCTTTAACGCATACTATAGGTAAGAAAAGGCTCTACTTTATAGCCTGAAATAATGAAAATGATCAGAGAAATATGAAAAAAACAGATTGTGAGAAAAAATTTTATGGAAAAAATTTAGAAAATAAGTACATATTAGTTCGTCGTCTTCAAACAGCTCAATGTACGTTACAAATTTTTCCTCTTTTTACGCCTGTATAAATTTTTTTCACATTTTTCTGATTACTCTTATTTTTTTCGATTTGTCTTTTCCTAGGACTTGCGTTCGAACAAAGACCTTACAAGTGAGGTACAAAACTTAATCGTAGAAACTCATCAAATCAGTTGGATGCTGTTTTTGCAAAAAAATCTACGTTAATGAGATCGACAAGACGGCTTTTGGTCTAGAGGTCTAGATAGTACTAATTCATGCTTGAGGGTTGTAAATGTTTCTGCAACTTTCGCGAAAATTTGGTCAAAAAAGACCGTTTAGTCCGTTTACTTAACTGATGTTTCCTAGCATTTGAGGCTCAATAGGAAAACTTCCAGAAAAGTATGCAAAGATGAGGCAAACTTCGACAGAAACCTTCTCAGAACAAAAAATGTAATTTTTTAGGACTATGGATGGCACTTGTAATAATCTGCAAAATCCTTTGAGAGGTGCTGCATATCGCCCATACACCCGACTTCTTCCTACAGTTTATGATAATGAGTTGTCAGAACCAGTAGGTGAGGGAGACTTTTTCACCACTTTGTAAAAAAAACGGAAAGAATTACCTGCTTTTATCATTTTTCCATCAAAGGATATAGTCTGAAATTTTAGCCTCTATGTTCCCAAACTTGCGTCCATCACCTCGTGAAATCACTCGCCATCTCACTTCATCTCATGCTTCCGTTGTTTCTGATGATTATAATGCACTGGTTATGCAGTTCGGTCAATTCATCTCCCATGACATGGCTAAGGTAAAATAAAAATCTATTTTTTTTAATTTGCCATTTTTGTACATAACCATTTAATTTTAGACAACACTGATCCCATCATCAAAATGTAACGTCTGTCAAAATATTACGAGTCGTTGCATGGCTGTACCAATTGCTCCCGATGATCCAAATGCTGGGTAACGAATTTTGCTAAAATAATACGATAATAAATATTTGTATAAGAATGGTCACAGATTCCGACGTAACACTTGCGTAAGAGTATCGCGATCGTCACCAATTTGCGGTTCGGGTAATCAGAAGCCAAGACAGCAGCTGAACGAAAATACAGGTACGCAAAAATTTTGAAATTCTCTAGAGCAAAGTCGAAGCGAAAAATTACCAGAAAAAATGGAAAACGGGTGGAGAAAAAAGAAAATGATAAGCTAGTCTTACTTGTACTTTTCTGCATTCGTAATTTCGACTGTTCTTTTGCTTTGAGGTTTTGACAAGCACAAGTTCTTTTCTTTCCTACAGTTAAAAAAAAATTTTTTTTTGCTCAACTCTTGACGCCCAGGTTATATCGATGCTTCTCCCATCTACGGCTCTTCTGTACACGACTCCGAAAAATTCCGACAAGGAAGAACTGGTTTCCTCAAACTTCCACAGTTCAATGGAATGCAAAGTAAGCAGCCATCTGAGTCCAAATTTTGAAGGAAAAAGAAAACGAATTCCTTTTCTTTATATTTCTCCGGAGCCTAATAGGGTTGCTTTCAGTGCTACCATTCGACCAGAGCAAGTGTAGGAATAGACAATCATGTACGGTAATATTCACAGCCGGAGACAGTCGTGTAAATCTCTTTGTCGGTTTATCAGCATGGCACACAATCTTCACAAAAGAGCATAATAGGTTAGTTTTCTTGGTTTTCTAACGGAAAAACTATTCTTTCGTTTTTTATCTGTAAGAATTCTTGGCATGAGCTCAAGACAATTGCTACAGGTTAGTGACAGCGTTGATGCGAATGAACCCACACTGGAGTGGTGACAGGCTCTATCACGAAGCTAGAAAAATTGTTGGAGCAGAATTACAAGCAATCGTTTACAGGTAACTGCCTATCCCCCCTTATAAAAAACAAAACCCAATAGAAATAGTGATTTTTTGCTGTGAAAACCACTCCCTTTTTAGAGAATGGCTTCCAAAGATCCTCGGCGCCGCGTTCTCATCTGTGGTTGGCGACTACCGAGGCTATGATCCAACAGTAGATGCTACGATAGCCAATGAATTCACATCAGCTGCTTTCCGATTCGGACATGGAATGATCCAGGTATGGTTTGAAAGAAGTGGGCTGATCATAACTGCTATAACAATATCTCTTAGTCCATCAAAAACATTCTTTTTGGGGAAAGCGATATTTTGTACAAACAAACTTGATCCTTCTAATTGTAAGCTCAATGTAAATGGAAAGTATGGTAGCTGAGCTGATCTGGGATTTTTTGAGCGAGGAGAGGTGAAGGAAGTCATGTATCGCAATACATGACAAAAATTTATTAAATAAGGAATCTGGATAAAGATCCTTCCATTGTTCAAAGATCGGAGAGATTCAATAAAAGGGGTTTGGTACAATGTAGCAGAAAATTTCCCTAAATTTTTGCTCGATTACAACTAAAAACCTCTAAAAGTTTGTGGCTAAGTTCTTTCATTTTCGAGTAGTCTTTGAATTTTCATTATAAACAAAATGACAATTTTACGGTGTCTAGCAATGTCTGTTTTACTCCATAAAATTATTCGTCATTTTTCCGGTAATAAGAGAACAATTATCAAAATACCTGGAGAACGAAAATTTTATTCATTACCATTCATTTTACACTTGAATCACATACAGTTAGATTTTCGGTTCACTTTATTCTTATGATGCTGGCGCTATTCTTGTTGTTTTTGCTTTTCTCTTCCTTAACTTCCTATTTTATTTATGCGAGCACTTGGAGCGGATCAATAAAAGATATAAATAAATAAAGCTAGTATAACAAGAATTCAAATATTCGAATGAGTAAGGATGTGGGATGTGCAAAAAAAATTAAAAGTTCATTTTTTAGGAATTCTACCAACGACTTGACCCCAATTTCAGTAACTCATCCTTCGGTGCTCTTCCCTTCCAAAAGGGCACATTACACTCGGATGTTCTTGTTAATGAGGTGATTCCGTTATAACTACTCCTAGCTTATCTACAAATTGTATATTCTAGGGAGGACCTGATCCATTGTTAAGAGGTATGTTCTCTCAAAGTGTCAAGCGACCACAGCGGGTGACGACAACGGTAACAGAGAACATGTTTGGCTCAACTGATCTCAGCACTATCAACATCCAGGTAAGAGTTTAAAAATTTTTATAATTGAATGCTCTCACAATTTTGGAAAAGTCTATAACTTTAAACTTGTCTAATTAAATCTTGTTGAAGAACTGGAGTAACAAAAAATGTGTCGTAATGTTTTTTGGAGATTTAAATTATGTGAAAGAGACAGTACCAACTCAATTTTTAAATTTTCTAGCTTTATAGGCACGCCCTATCTCTCAAATTCCGCCTGAAAATATCTTGGAAATTGAATCGTAACCTAGTTATTTTTTGTGACCCTTTTCGATTTCTCGGCACCCAATATTTTTTTTCAAGTAATGCATCTTATTGAGTAGAAGTAACGTGAATAAATAGGTTAATTTGAGAGGATCAGTCTCTTTGCCCTACAATTTCTGTTGAGAACAATGCTGTTTCAGCGAGGACGTGATCACGGACATCCAAGCTACAGTAAGTATCGAGAACTTTGCGGTATGGGCGTAGCCACATCCTTCGACCATGTGAGGCGCATTTTATTTTCTACAGAAAAAAATGACAGCAATAGAAAAAACTCTTTTTAGTTGTCGCGAGAAATTCTAAACACTGGCACTCGAGACAAATTACAAAGGGTCTACGGATCAGTGGATCGCATAGATCTTTGGGTTGGCGCTTTGTTAGAAGATCCTGTAGTCAGAGGATTAGTTGGACCAACAGTAGCGTGCATAGTCGGCCCACAGTTTAAGAGGACGAGAGATGGGGACCGGTACGTTATGAGCTTTTCTTATATGAAAAATTCAAATTGTATGGTTCAGATTTTACTACGAGAACCCAGGAGTGTTCACACGACCGCAGCTCTCAGAGATTCGGAAAAGTTCACTTAGTCGAATAATCTGCGACAACACAGCCACAATCACAGTAAGTTTGTCTAGATTACCACAGCTTTTGAAAGAGTACGGGGCAGGTTGCCCAAAAAATTTGCCAAAGTTATGATTTTCCAAATTTTAACGTTTCTCAGCACTTTGAACATTAATAGGATCAGTTGTTATATTGACATTATAGTTATAATTATTATTCGTTCTAGATGGTTCCTCGGGAAGCATTCCGACTTGGACATTTGACGCCTTGTACTCAAATACCGCAAATGGATCTCAGCAAATGGAAGGAATAACACGGCTCAGTATAGTAGGTCAGAATTCTTGTTGTCGCTAAAAAGACATATCTATCCATATCTCATATTTTTTGGTTTTATTTTCAACATTAGATAAAACACAGGTTTAGTCAATTTTGTGAAAGATCGTCGCTCATTAATTTTTGACTGCTTTTACAAATTGAAAGATATTTTCATTTGATTTTATAAATTCTATGTCCACAGTAGAGATAATTCACTTTTTTGAGGTTAACAGTAGTCTACATCTTAGGTTTTTGGTCAAAAAATGTCCAGTAATTATGTAAAAGAAATTTGGCTTCGCGAATCTTGATGTTCATATAGTGTTTTAAAAAGTTAGTATTTCTTAAAATGCAGCCTGGATGTCTGGCACACAATTTATTGTACAATATGACAATTACGCACAAGTAAAGTGATTCCAACCTATGATTTCCTGCTTTTTTGTTTCCAAAGTAGGATTGCAAAATCTGGTGGCTTTATTTATCTTTATCATTATCTCCAAGTCTTAGTAAGTAAACCGCCGCTTTGTAGATTCTACCCTTTATATTTTATTCTGCGAATAAAATATAAAGGGTAGAATCTGGGAATTACAATAAGATTGCGGTATCATAAAGAAGATAAGCACTTTCATTCTAAAATCAGTACTTTCTACATTTCACGAAATCAGTAAGGAAATTGTCCGAAAAGCAATGTTACTTTCTAAGCGCAAATTTCAGGCAGTCTGGAGACACAAACACGGTTGATGCGGGCTCAACAATAGCCATGTTATAATTTGTTTGAGATGCACGATCTTCAATACTTCTTTATGTAATTATATTTACCTCAGTGCTATGCCTTCACAATCTATGATTTGTGATTTTGGGCAGAAAGTTCTTTCTCAGCTTCGTGGAATGTATTGAAGATCATTTTGATGTAACGTTTATTGTCATTTTTGTATGAAATAAATATAAAACCCTTCTTGGTTGTTTTTAGCTTGAATCAAGACTGATAACATGTTTCAAAAACGATTTACATATCAGGTTCCAAAAATGTGTGATTGCTATAATAATCAAGAACTTGGGTTTCGTTACTCATGATCCAACGAGGAAACTATGTTTATTGAGTGCCCGATATAGGTCCAGTTTGGTTGGTTTGGTGATAGATATTTAGATATACAAGGTGTCCCAAAAGTATGTATACGTTGTACACTGTTTGGTCATCGCCCGAGAAGTCTTTTGTCCATCTTCAGGCACCATCTTGTAGAGCTGGCTTCAACTTAGTTTTGCAGTATGAGGAGAGCGATCGCCTTAGCGATCGATCTCTATTACTGAAGGATTACAGTAAGAACTTTTGAATTGCAGCGTTGTTTAGATTAGTCGTCTTTGAAAAAGAAAGTTTCCGAAAATTCTGAAAAATGTTGTATCAGAGATATTACGAAGGAAGCATTGCGGTAAAATGCAAAGTTTATATTTGGTTTTAGCGACGCCTAGTGTAAGAGATTCCGAGTTGTTTTTGTATTCTTAATAGGACCCTCAATGGTTGAAGTTCCTACCGTAATCCTTCAGCAATGAAGAGTGATCGGTGATTCTTTCTACACTATGAGTTCTAAACTGAAGTCAACCCTACAGAATGGTACCTGAAGGTAGGCAAAAAAAAACTTTTAACGAAGAAAGAAATCAACGATTAAACAGTGTGTACATAATGTTCCACATTCGACTTTCGATGAATCTTGGCATGACGATTAAGTTGCTTGAGTGATTCAGCTAACAACAAGATTTTTATCGTATTTATTCGGCTAACGTTTCGGCGTAGTCGCCTTCGTCAGAGCCTAGAAAGTGAGAAACATTGAGAGGAACATTGCTTGGGCATTCCAGTCAGCGGTGGTTCTTCCTCATCTAACAACAAAAGGTGAGCTGATAGTTCTAGGCCTTAATGGGAGTGTTTTCAACTTTTGGGATTCTTCACGCATGTGAGGTGTTTGGTAGGCTAATTCTCAATGTTCCTCACTTTAGAGACTCTGGCGAAGGCGACCACACCGAAACTTTAGCCGAATAAATACGATAAAAATCTTGTTGTTGGCTGAATCACTCAAGCAACTTAGTGTGTACATGCTTTTGGATACCGCAATCAATCACAGTATCATTTCTAGGGGATGATGTTATCGCCCCTTTTGATTTTTTGCGAAAGAAGAAAACATTTTCTTATGACCCGTAGTGTACCTTCTCCCATTCACTAAGTCGCACTGAACTGACCGCCCACAGATTGAAGAAGCAGAAGAGCATCCGGTCAAGTGCTAGTCATGTTGCTCATAGGTTGAAGATGCGTCGTAAGTTGAACTGATGGAGAGAGTGTGCAAAAGAGGAGAGCAGAAAATATTAGGTTGTCCCATAAGTCTTTTCATATTCGAACCTTCAATTTGATATTTCTCAAGAACTAGGGCACCTAGAAAGCTGTAAATTTTTGACAGTAACTCTGAGTGAATAAGCTATATAATTGCCTATTTTTGGGGAACACAGAACTGATACAGGCAAACTTTGAAAATTGAGCGCATTATTTTTTTCTTGGTTTCTAGCCATCAGAAAAATGCAGCAAGTGCATACATAAATATCCGATGAGAAGAGTATACGCATGAAAAAGTTGGAAATCCGCAGAGTTGTTTTGAACTGAGATATGACGATTTTTATTTTTTCGGAAATTCGGAATTTTTTTTGTTTTGGCTGGGAACTCGAAGGGATTGAGGTTTGTGCGAACTTTTAAAAGCCATCTTGTAGAACTTGCTTTGGTCTATCGAATGGTACAACGCATTCTGTTAGAAGATCAAAAAGAACTGATTTATGTCGCTGGAAATTTAGGTATGAAAAGACTTATGGGACAACCTATTAGGTCGTCCCGAAAGTTCTTGCGCACGATTTTCAAAAATTTATAACTTGTTGAATTTTCAACGAATTTACAAGCTTTAAATTTTGTATAAGAGAGAAACTCATGCTCTTTGCAATAGTGCTTGAATTGTTCGTTAATGTATACAAATGAAGGAGACAGAAGCTCAAAACCGAAGTCACTCAAAATTTGAATTTTTCGTGTAGGGTCATAAAAAATCGGAAACTTGCGACAAAAATTGGAGCAGTCAGTATTGTGGGCTCTTTCACAAACGCTTTCCAACAGTGCAAAGTTTGCGCCGATTGAGGGTCTCTATGAAAAGTTATGATTTTCGAGCAAGCAATACAAAAGGGCGAATTTGATTTATTTTGGCATTTTTCAGGGAATTCATAACTTTTCACAGAGACGCTCAATCGGCGCAAACTTTGCACTGTTGGAAAGAGCTTGTGAAAGAGCCCACAATACTGACTGCTCCTATTTTTGTCGCAAGTTTCCGATTTTTTATGACCCTACACGAAAAATTCAAATTTTGAGTGATTTTGGTTTTGAGCTTCTTTCTCCTCCATTTGTGCACATTAACGAACAGTTCAAGCACTATTGCAGAAAGCATGAGTTTCTCTCTTGCACAAAGTTTTGATCGTACGAATCCGTTGAGAATTTAAAGAGTTATGAATTTTTGAAAATCGTGCGCAAGAACTTTCGGGACGACCTAATATGTGCGCCGTAAGGAAAAAAGAATTACGCGGATTTGTTCCGGTGAACAGAGACTGCGTTTCAAGGGAGATGCATGCTTCGAGGCTTGGTGTACTCTTTTTGCTGCGCCGGCAGGCACTCTGTAGTAGCGACCACTATCTAGAAATAGATGGAAAGCTCTGATGCTATCAGAGATTTCGAAAAGCTCTGATGCTATCAGAGATTTCGATTAGCTGTTGAGGAAATAAAACAATATATAATGTTTCAACTTCCTATCAATCAAATTTTACGGCTATTAGAAAATAAATAGAAAAAAATTTTACCTTAGGCGTCTACCAGTCGGTGAGACAAGAATCTTGAAAAAAGACAAAAACGCAGTGTGGACGTCGAGAAATTCGAGTTTGGCTCTTTGTAATTATGGGATTTGTGCCGATAATATCGGCACCTTCTTCATTGTAAGATAGCAGCTGCCAAAGTACCGTTGAGGTCACGTCGTATGTAAGCATTGGCTCGCTAATGAGATGCTTATCAACATACCTTGACACACCTATCATAGTTAGCATTCTACGACTACTCCAGTTCGGGAAAGTCGACTGTCTCAATATCAATAAAATTGCTAGGCGAGTAATGTTGATGGCAAGTAATGTTTACACTTGCAGATATTCTTACCAAAGCGACAACTACTTCTCTTCTTCTTCTTCTCTTCTTCAACGTTAACACGCGTTAACCACTATACCGCTACATCTATAACAAAAGAAATAACATGCTCCGCTTTCAAGGACAAGACACCAGAAGCTATAATGAAGCAATAACAACTCTGCATCTCCATATGGAAGATGCGAAGACCCATGCTAGAAGAATTGCGAAATTACTTCGAAAGGACTCTAATTTTAGTGAGGAACTCAAATTTTCAAGCGATGGAAACTACGGAAAGCATCCACAATCTGGACGTACTGCCGAACTGCGTCATAGACATCACATTGGGCTTGCACGTTATACGATTGAAAAGCATTGAGCTGAAGGCAGAAGATTGAAATTCGCTAAACGGAAAGGTAAGTTACTGTCAAATCGCAACTGATGCACATTTTTCTAGAATAACGCAAAAAAGATGCAAAAGAGCTGGATAGACTAAAACGTAGGGGAATGGTTACAAGTTTGAGCCCTGTAGATTATGTAGCGCCTAGAGATGGACAGTACAAAGAAAATCCTAAGAGCACAGCGACGAAAAGAAGCGCACCCTGCAGATTTTTTGTCAGAAATGATATCAATCAATCAAGCAACGAATTGGAAGGCGCATGACAATACCTTGGTGTCCGAAAATAACAAAAATAGAGTCAAACCCGGCAATCAAGATGACAAGCACAGAAAAGAGGATGTTGTCCTAACCTAGAGGCAATCGCAGCGCCTGATATGTCTCAGACAATATCGAGAGGTCAGAATAGGTCAACATTCTGAAAAACCGCAACCGCGATGCAGGAAGATAATTGGTAAACGGCGGAACCGTGATCTTCACTCGATGTATTTTACACGAAGAGAAAGGGCAACTTTCGAGCGTATGCGATATATCAGTTTTACAGTCAGCTGCTGTCTTCTTCCATCGCAGATACCGTGCTCACTATACGCAAGTCACCATCTTGCTCTAATGCTGGAACAATGTCCGCTACGCGATCCGGACAATTGTCCCCCTTCATATCAGCCACTTGATCACTGTTGATTGTGTAAGCCGTCATTTAATTCCTGTTGGTGGCCGGAGTGTGCAGATAATATCGGCACCTTCTTTGTTGTATGATATTAGGTGCCAAGATATCGATAAAGGTCATGCCCTAAGCATGATCTGCTGTGGTAGTAAGCTTGTTGACCGGATGCTTACTAATGTATTGTACCTTGCCACGCCTATCATGCTCAGCATCCTACCAGTCCTCCAACGCGGGCAAATCTACAGTCTTACTAGGACTGCTAGGCTAGTGTATTGTCCACACCTGCGGCTATTCCTACCAAGATGACAACTAGCCTTAAGGGCCGGGCATACTTCACGCGATTTCAGTCGCGACGCGATTTGGCAGTTCGCCAGAAGTCTTCAGATCCGACACTAGCATTCCGCACATGCATAGTGTGTACAACTCAAGCGGACTGATAAAATGCGCTATCTCCTGTACAATTGGAATGTGCTTACAGTGAATTATGGTTAGTTGGAATATTGCCAAGTCGCGTCGCGACTGAAATCGCGTGAAGTATGCCCGATCCTTTAAGCAACGTTAACAACGTTAACGTTAACATGCGCTAGCCACTATAGCAATGAACCATTGCTGTGTCGTTTGTTTAAGCAGCAACCAAGATGCTAACAACTTTCATTCAAGCGTCGTTAAAGTCAAGATCACCCACAAGCCTAAGATGGATGTCGATATTTAT